TATCTGGTTTTTCTGTAAAAATAATAATCTCAGCCAAGAATGATTGTTATAATTTCAATATTCTACAAAATATGACGTGTTCCAATAATTTCTTTTTAAAAAATCTTAGATTATGTTTAGTAATAGGTAATAGTAATCTGTAAAAATATTTATAAATACAACTACATCATTTTGTAAAGACAAAAACTTCAAATATTGTTAATAAACGACATCAATTAACCAAATTAGTTGCATTTTATAATTTGTGATAGGTTCTGTATATTTTATATGTTAAAAATGTTTATTTCGTGAAAAATACAGTATACGTTTTTTTTCTTCTTAATTATATTTAACTTTCATGTCTTCTCATTCATTTAAATTTTACTTATTAAAAAAATAGTAAGAATAGTAATCAGCAAGTATTTAATATTTTTTTGCCGACCGAAAATGTGGTGGATGCATGATAAAAGCACATCCGCCAGATTTCATCATTCTCGATGATAAATTCGGTGAGTAGTTCATTAAGTTAATATAGAAGTCTATGTACTATGTATTAAAGTTACGTAATAATATTATTTTACTCATTCACAGTCGAGCAACATACGATAACGAGTCGCCGTATATTATTTGAAAATAAAGACGCTACGGCGAATAGCGACAGAATTCTCTGTAGGAAACGAGCAAGAACGACGAGAAATATTTCAATTTTTTAAAAATGTGCAAAATATCTACAATTTTTTTGTGGATTGAGCCTTGTATGATAGGAAAAGTTGGATGTTTTCTCAGATTCTATGTCAGAAATCACTTTGAAAACACTCAATCCTATACGTTGGGCAGGTAGATATACATAATATATATATATATATATATCTAAAATAAAATATATAGAAATAAGGTACATAATATGTATGGTTTATACCCTTAGGCTGGACGCACACCAAAGCGATACGATATATGAGATACGCGATATGCGATGTACGATAATTATCGTCTATTATAATTTCTATATATTTATTAATTAAATTAAATGACCACTCACACCAATGCGATTGCGACTGTTATCGTACAATATTTATTGCATGAGATAAATTGATCAAGTCGCGCTTTGAAAATTATGGCTACAGTCTCACGAATTTAGCTTGTCAATCGTACAACATAAACAACGATTCGGTGTATAATATAAATTTTGTTCATATTATTGAAAAGTACCGGTGTATATGGGACTTAAAAGATACCTTAAAAGATTATAGTAGACGGAATGTCACAGAAAAAGCTTGGAAAGATGTGGCAAATACTGTACACGATTCCGGTAAGAATAATTTTTTTTTCGTTCAAAAACGTTTCTATTCAACTAAAAATTGTGTTTTAGTCGAATAGTATAATTTTGTGTGATTATTTCACTATAAATTTAAAAATTCTTAAATACATTTTAATCAGTTGTAATTTTTAAAGTACACAATCGTCAATATGACGTACGCTAGTAGGTATTATTACGAGTATTATTATATATACTATATTATATTACTATTATTATCACATAATATTAAAAGGCACATTATTTGTATTATATAATATATTCTTCTATTGTGTTGAAAAATTGAATGAGTGTATTATATTTTATAATTGACATATTATGTAGTCATAAATAAATAAGTGAACAAAATAAAAATTTTTTATACAAGTTTAAACACTTAAGTTGTATTTTTTGCAAAATTCTCATATAGATATAGACGTCACACTGTTTTTGGGATTGTTGTGCGTTTTTTACGCTCGAGTCACCGACTAAAAAAAAAAGTCGTGTGACACATCGATTCGTATATGAACACGTACGATATTCTGATCAGATACAATATCAGATATACAGATATACAGATATCAGATACGATATTCTGATCGATAATGTTCTGTGTGAAAATTGTCATACATATTATCTTCATACACAAACATCACATATAGTAAACGTCAATCAATATATATTTTTACAAATACAGCTATGGTCAGATCTAACCACAAAAATCACCGACTTAGTTATGAATGCATTACCAAATGGAAAAATAAATATTGATGGCAACATGTATAATCTACACTCTGTGATTTTCCACCACGGTAATTTAATGACATCAGCTCATTATACATGTATTATCCGATTTCTTAATAAATGGGTTGATAGATGGATGTTGAATGGGTTAATAGATGCAATGATTCTAATATTTATTATGATCGGTGGCCACGTGGTGCTAAATACTTATATATAATCATTCTCCAGCAGTAATTTAAACTTTAATTATATAATAATACACCTCCCTTCTCCCGAATAAATACATTTCATCACCGCCTGAAAAGAGTTAACTACATGGAAAATTGTAATTAAAAAAATGAGTGATATCTCATCAAAAACATTCCGTGTAAAAAAAATCACTTAAATTACAAAAGTTGTGATATCAAAAATTGGCTAAATAATTTCATAAATTCATTAATATAGAACTATTTATAACTGTTATTATAATGTACCTTGTGAATTTATTTAGTGCAAATAATTTTACTTAGCTTGGCGGCTTCTAGAATGAACTCTACTAGTAGAATATAAAATGATGTAAATATTTGTGTAGAAATCGAGACATAGTGCATTTAGTTTCTTAGTTGTAGAGACATAAATAATATTAATTGCGCCAATTCATATAATTTTGCAAATTTTGTTAGTTAAAATATAGAACAATACAACTACTAAAAATTACATATACCTACATCCTTCTAGCCGCTTAGCCGCCAAGCTAAGTAAAATTATTTGCATTAAATAAATTCACAAGGTACATTATAATAACAGTTGTAAATAATTATATATTAATGAATTTATGAAATTACTTAGTCAATTTTTGATATCACAACTTTTTTAATTTAAGTGATTTTTTATACTTAGCAATGTTTTTACACGGAGTGTTTTTGATGAGATACAATAAAACACGTATGAATATACAGTTTCAATTAGAAAAACTGGTTCTATCATCGCACCGAACTTCGGTGATAAACAGCACGGAGATTAGCGGCACAGCTCGACACAGCATACTAGAAATTACTAGTGATGGGAATTTTACCCTAATAAAATTTTCGGTAAATTTACGGAAATTTACGTACATTTTTTTAATAATATACATTTTTTTTTACTAATTTATTACGACCACAATAACATGTTTATAACTTGGTTAACCAATACCACTACTGGACACTTGTCCACGCTTAACCTTAAATATTATATTTAAATATGTATAAGTATGAATAGTATGATGAATAAATTATGCATATTGATATTATTTGAACTAAGGAAAAACAACCCATCATTTTCTATTTTTGTGTAGCACCTTTTTTTTATTTCATTCGTTTTAATTTTTGAGTATATTAGAAATTAAAATATAAAAATAACAAAGAGGAACAACATAAATTAACTTATTAACAACACAAATTATGAAGTAAACAATCAGTTATCATCAATCACATAAATATAATTAGGTTTACGTATACCCAGAGCCGGCGTGAAGGTAAGGCGACTCAGGCGGTCGCCTAGCGCGCCATTTTTAGAGGGGCGCCGAAATTGATTTTCACAATTTTGCACATGTGTCGGTAATATTATTTTTTTTTTTTTTTTAATATAAAATACCTATAACTTTGTATTGAAATACTGATAATTATAATGGTGATTTCGTTTAGTCATGAATTAAAATAATATAATTATATATTTACTATGATTTAGCATAGAAGTTTTTATCATATATGTTGCTTTATAAATATAAAAATTCCCGAATATTTGTTATCGTTTAATTGGGATCGCATCAAGCCAATATGATTCGTGAATAAAAAATTAGACAATAACAAAATATGTACAAGTTGAGCATATTAACCCGCGTCCACACCTAGCAAACATATGGGGAAACATTGTTTGTTGAACGTTTGCCAAATGTTTGTTGAACAGTTTGTCAAAATAACAAACATTTTTATTTGTTCGCTATATGTTTGGTCAATTCATTAATTTACAGTTTTAATTATGGCGTCTCTAGAGCAAGTCGCGTGTATAGGAGCTGCATTCATAATTATTTATAAACACTATAAAAATAAAATGAAGGATAAAATTAAAAGACGATGATGGGTAAAACAACTACTACAACGCCGAAAAACTTATAGTGGTGAGCTTTTCATTTTGGATTTACACATAAGTGATTTGTTTAATAATTTTACAAGAATGTTAAGTGTCGATTTTGAATTAAAACTAATACCGTCTGCAGAGAACTACATCAGCCACATCGATGTACATAATATATGTAACATTGGAAGTTATTATGCGTGGCTGACCGTATACGCTGTTCAAGAAATACTTGATATCACAATGAAGACGTCGATGAAGAATACTGAATATAAATTAATTCGACGTGAAATTTTTTTTTAAATTAGTGTTTGTAGAAAATAACATCGGTAAAAATGTAGCTAATATTATTATTGAAACATGGAAGTAATTTCATTAATGGCTCGGCAATGCAATGAAAGTTTAAAAAAAAAAATAGAACAAAATTAGTACCAATAACTTGGAAAAACTATACTTTAAACAATTTTAACCTCGGACACGAATGGGTTGATAATTGTATCTTACGTAATTCAACAAACACAAATAATTTACCAATAATATATGCTGGAATAATAATCACCGTATTACAATTAATTTTTTTTTTCTTATACAACTTTATTTAAATGTATGCATAAAATATAATCATGTTCTATGTTTATAACATCTATAAAAAAAACGATTAGACATATTCTAAGTATTATATTTAAAAATGATTATCTTAGTACATAGTTACTAAATTCGCTTACGTAGTTATTGTTGACCTTGGTTAATATAAAAAAAATGTTATCATGAACGATCTTGCTGTCCCACACGTCTTTATGGTTAAATGACAGGAAAAGAAGGATATACTAATGTTTACAAATCATTTTACAATATAGTATGTATAGGATACTGGACTGGTGGTGGAACATCATTCTCGCCACAGACGGCGTACACTAATGATTTAAATTCCGTCGGTTGAGTCCATATATCGTAGTCGTTACACATTCGATAATCTTCAAATCGGTTTTAAATTACTTTTGTATTGTTTAGTTTTGGTATAACAACTTTTTAATATTAAAAAATAAATAAACTTGTGTAAATTTGAAATGTTTTACCCATCGCTTCGATTGTTGATCGTGTTAATTGTTGCGATCACGCGGGTTCAAATCAACGGCCAAACCAGTAATACCCAAGTGAAACCTGAGTTGTGGGTCTCCGATTTGTTTTATCGCGCGTTGGCTAATTTCACCGTGAGAAATGTCGGGAGCACCGCTTGTCAAGAGCAATCCGAGATGTATGACCGCAATTTAAGAAATTACACACACTGGGCTATAAAAAGTATGTATCAATATGAATACGAAAGTTACGCATAAACGCGCAATAACGGGGAAGTTTTCAGTTTTTATTTGAGCAAGATGAAAATGTTGTTCTTTTGTTCAGTGCGATGATCATTTCAATTTTTAAAACACCAATACATACATACTTATCGGGTGAAAATAATCATAACAAACGAGCAATTAATTTTCGACAGTTCGTGTGTAGATGTAATGATGTAGTGTATGTATAGTTATCAAACTATTGAGGTACAAAAAATTAATCTTATATAAGTCACTGATTATGAATAAAAAACGTGTGGGTCTCGGAGATCTTTAACTAAAGCGAAGCTTTTTACGAAGACTTATTTAATTTTCCCATGCATTGTCTCTCCCATGATGTCGATTGCTTAGTACCGACATAGTGCTGTGTCGAGTCGTGTTACTATACGACAGAGTATCTTAACAAAATAAAAAAAAAACATAATGTCTACATATATTATTAACATTTTCAACAAAAAAAAATCCCGACTTCGATAAAAATACGTGTTGAAAATAATAAATGAAAAAATATGAATTACATTACATTCTGTTTAGTCAGTGGTGGCGCTAGGAATTTTTCCCAGGGTGGGCCAAAAGGAGGCTATGTATATAAGGGCTGGCACAGTTGTATGATAGTTAAATAAATGAAGAGGGAGGTTGACAGGGGCTGGACTGCCCTGAGCAATGGTGTATACAAGGGGGGTGTTTGGTAGATATGACACCCCCCTTGAGTCGTATCATATATTACATTATTATAGGAATATAGGTAAATCGATAATACAATATGAAATATAAAATAATGCACAATACTAATTACATATATACAGGTTAACATTATCGCGATTGCGACAATACGTGGCGAAAATTATTCGTTTATGTTTTCGTGCAACACAAAACGTTTAATAATAATAGGTATTGTAGCATCGAATACTGATATTCGAATAGTCAAATATTCGAATAATTTATGGTAAAGCTATCCGAATTCGAATATACATTACAACTCTATTACAGACATTATGTATACATATTAATTAATTAAAATAAAAGTTTTAGTTTGTACGTATTATATATAATATTTAATAATTATAATTAATATCCCCCTTCAGAAAATCCTATCTACGCCACTGGCCCTGAGCGTCCTTTTTTGGACTCCGTATCGGATAAAAATGATTCACTAATGTTATCGACAAATTTAAATTGTAATTTTTAAGTTTTTAGTACATTATGTTTTTTTAGTATTGTACAAACAAGTATAAATATTTAATTGTCTGTTGGTTGATTTCGAATTTGTAACATCAAGTAATTTGGGAGAAACTTTTTTATTAGCTACGTTAAAAAAAAAATCGTTTAGACATTTTGATTAATAATGTTTTTTGAATAAAAAAGAAAACATAATAAAATATTAAAAGATAATAATAGAAGAGTACGCGGCTGAATAAACAAAAACTGTACAATGATGATAGTAAAAAGGTTCACTGTTCAAAAAATTAAAAACAGGTCTGTTGTATTGTATATGGCAGGGATGGGCAACTCAAAGTAACTAGCGGGTCACTTTTAAGTACTTTAAAATCTAGTGGGCCGCAGTGCATAGGAGAAAAAAAAAGGTCCTTTTTACTAACATTTATTTTTTATCTTTATTTATTTATATTTACAATTATTATTTAATGTGATACTTGAGGATGAGGTTTTTCAATGGACAATTTAATAAAATCCACTTATATTTCTGTAGTTGAAACTTTTAGTAAATGTCCCAAGGTTTCATCTGTGGAACAATTTCTTTCCTTCGATTTAATATGTTTCAAATTCGAAAATGTACATTCGCATAATATTATGTATGTGGTTTCAAACATAGATAACATTTTTAATGCGAAATCTCTTAGAATTGGATATTTTTCAACTGGTAATGTTTTCCAAAATGATACATCAATCTTTTTTGCAGATAAAAATGGATCTGTTTGTAACTCACATAATTTTAATTGAAGTGAAGGATCTTGCTTTTCAATTTCAACTTCCATAGGATTATAAAATAAATTTATTTGAGGACGCATAAGTTCAACTTCTTCAAATAGTCTTTTGAGCTCTACAATTAATTCATCAATGTGGGTAATGCAATGTTCAAAATTAAATTCACTATCAAATTCTTGTTTTATAACTTCACAACACGGAAAATGTATTAATTTATTTTCAACAAATACATTTTTATTTAAACAGTTCCAATTTTTTTCTGAATTCATCTAAAAAGCCTATTATTTGAGATATTGTTTGTTTTCTACCTTGTAGTTGTAAATTTAGTTTATTTAAATGTTGAGAAATATCCGTTAAAAATGCTAATGAACATAGAAATTGTTTATCAGCTAATTGATTTTCAAAATAAGTGGTATCAGTTGTAATATTTGTTTTAAGAAAATTTAATATTTCTTTTCTCAAACCAAAAAAACGTTCGAGACACTTTCCTCGACTTAACCAGCGTACATCTGTGTGCAATAATAAATCACCATACTCACAATCAAGTTCTTCTAAATATTTAATAAACTTACGGTGGTTCAAATTACGGTTGCCTCCTCTAATTAGATTAGTAATTTTAAATACTGTATTCATAATGTTATCAAGCTTCATTATTTTACCACACAACGCTTCTTGATGAATAATGCAATGTATTGCAGGAACATTAATATCAGATTTGTGCAATAATCCAACAAAACCAGCATTTTTGCCAACCATAGATTTTGCACCATCAGTCACAACCGATGACATTTTTTTGAAAACTCCAAATGGTTCAATTGCATTTTTTTACAGCATTAAAAATATCAATTCCTTTAGTTGATCCATGCAAGAAACATAATTCTAAAAGTTCTTCATAGATTTCAAATTGTGGAAAAATAACTCTAACAAATATTAAAAGTTGACTTATATCTGAAACATCAGTACTTTCGTCTAATGCTATTGAAAAATATGCGCAATTCATCATTATAGTTTGCAATGTTTCACGAATAACACTATCAGTATCAGCTATACTACGTGTCATGGTACGTCTTGAAAGTGATATTTTTTCAAATTCACTCGCAATTCTATTTTCGTTTATTGATTTAGCCATTTTTATTGTACAGTTTTTAATAAGTTCACCGTCACTCAGAGGTTTCTGAGATTTTGCAATTTCATTAGAAATAACGTATGATGCCATTAAACTTAATTGTTGTTGCTTTTACCATCACATTTTTTTGGGACTGAAGTTTTCTTTTCAGATCAATTACAACATTCTCTCTTGCGATATTGGTGTATTTATTATATTTGAACGAATGATTTGTCATGTGATGTCTTTTCAAATTATATTCTTTTAGTACTTCAATAATATTTAAACAAAATAAACATTGAGGTTTTTTTTGTTTGTTAATAATAAATAAATATTAATTCTCCCATAAGCTGTTAAAAATTCTATTTTCGTCTTCGATTTTACGCTTTTTAGTAGACATTTTTAAAATAATTACTACAAAACACGAAAATAATAGTACTAACGCCGCGGCGGTGTGACACTACGGCAGTACGGTACAGCAGTACGGATATGACTAAACCGATAAAATGAAATAAATAGTATGTTAGCTACGCTATTATAAATATATATTTAGACATTTAATAATTTAGTTTCGGTTTAAAACTAGATAAGAATTTATATCCACATTTTATCAAAAAATGTAATAAAATAAAATAAAATACAGTTAAGCGCTAAAATTATATGAAGTAATTTGAAAATGTAGCGCGGGCCGCCAGTTGCCCATCCCTGGTATACGGGGCTTGGGTCAGTTCTCCTCATTGATAAGAAAAAAAAAAATCTAATTTCCAAATTCATTGGTGCCAATGTCAAAAAAAAATTCCCACCAATCTAACCTCTACAGTGAAAAATTCCTGAATTTCAAATTTATTTATTTTCAAATTCAAATTTCAAAACCAATAATTTTGAAAAAATTAAAAACCGGTCTGTTGTATTGTTCCATATATGAATGGTCACAAAATATTATAACTTGAAACTTAATAGTTTGTAATAAATTACATACGAGGAAAAAATAAATGATTGCCGTCATCTAAATTTCAAAATGTATACAAGGCAACAGCAACGGTGATTGAGCAGTCGCGGGGTGTCTCGGCTAACGACAAATTTTTATTTAAAAGTAAATTATGTGTTTTATTGTGAGACTTTAAAGTTATTATAATCTAATTTGATTTTAAACTATAAAATATTTGTTTTTCATTTTTTTCTTAGTAAAATGGGAGTATCAAATCCTAGTGTGTGTACTGAAGCGTTTGTGGCGATAAAACACTTTTGTAAAGTAACAAGATGTTTCTGTACTTACTTTCTCATCCAGAACTCGTTATCGTGGTTAGTTTTTCGAGAGTAAAAATACCTTAGAGTTATAAAATATAAATTCTGTGGTACTTGTTAATTTGTCCTTTTGTGCAGTACTCGTTATCATGGTCACCAAAAGGAGAATTAAATAAGTTTTTACCAAAAGGTATCGATATTTACTCTTTGACGGTCTCAGACTCAATAATCGAAATATATCTGTTATGTATGTCAAGCCTTTACGTGGCGTATACGACAGGTCATACTGTAAAATACTATAAATACTGAGTAGATCAAGTTTACCTATGTGAAAACAACCTATAAGAAAAATGTTCATAGGGTCATCAGGTGATCGACAAAACGTGTATGAAAATGTAAAATTTCTAATTGTTTGTCAAATTGTAGTGCAAAATATCTACGAATACAGTCAACCACAATACTACCTATGTACTATATACAACACTGAAACAATAGAAACAATAATATTTTATAATAATTTGTGAAAACTTATTAATGTTAATTTAATACAATTTTACTTTAATCTAAAATGATCATATTTTGAACAATTATTATACAACTATTTATTATGTAAGTCATATTGTGACAACACCGACACGCCCACTACATAATTTTTCTTATAATTTACAATATATATATAATTTTAATTTAAATGTACCTACGTAAAATAAATCAATATCTTGATTGTACAAGTAAATATTTTACTTTTCAGTGGCAGAATCTTGGAATCGACATCCAGTCGGTTTTTTGTCTGGGAATACATTTCACATGGGACTTTATGATGAGTGTATTGATATACGTTATCCAGTTAAAGGCCAGTATTGCTTAACTGAAACAAAACTATTACTGTCTGCGGAAAACACCATTAGTCACAACGAAGTACACAATAGGAATAACATTGGAAGTTATTATGCATGGCAGACCTTACTTGGGGTACACTGTTTAACAAATACTTGATTAGTTTAAAAATAATATTTTTCTAGTTAAAAATGAAATAAATAATTTATGTAATAAATATATAATAAAAAAATATTATTCACAGGTCATTTTATTAAAAGTGATACCAAGAAACCAATATTTATGTTAATAATATTCGTTGAATTGGATGAGTTATTAAACAAAAAAGATATTGAAGTTTTAGTTGATGTAGGACAGTGGTTCTTAACCTTTTGTAGATCACGGACTCGTGATGAAAATTTTGTATAAATTGTGGACCCCTTAGCTAATTATTTTTTTGTATACATTCTTTTTATAAAATATTTCATCTTATTAAAACCAAAATTCTAATCATTATTTTATGCAATAAATTAGGTACATTAGTAGATATAAAAAAATATACACATTTATAATTATTTTTATTACACTTAATTTTTTAATTATTTAAGGTTTCAGTTAATTTATATTTTATTATTTTACTTTTAATTTTTTTTTTTTTAATATTTTTAAATTAGATTTGTATCGACTTAATGCGATGGTTGATATTATATTTGGTACACAAGCTTTTGAACACCTTACAAAGATAAGATCTATCTATTATATAATAAAAAATGTACGAAAAAAAAAATAATAATAATACTGTAATAATGCACTTGTCATGTATTGACGTATGTTATGTGTTAAGAATGCCTTGGACCCTCGACATGAGTATCACGAACCCCAAAAGGACCGCGAACCACATATTAAGAACCGCTGATGTAGGAGAAAAAAATATATAAATGAAATTTTAAGGATATTCAAATATTATATTATAAATTAATCTACGTTTTGTAGAAAATGAAAATGACAAAAAAAAAAATATATTTTCTGTGCACAATTTTTGACATTAACTAAATATTGTGGCTCTTTCAGTAATTTTTTAATCTATATGCAATATATTTTTAACTATTTTATTTTATTTGTTAATATATTTTTAAAAGTTATGTTCATTTTTGTATCACAGTGGATCGATTATCCAGATCAAATTCCACGAAATATTTTGAATTTAGGAATTTGCATCCCGGATTCTTGTTCATCGTCAGATTTACAAAAAACATTGCAAAATGAATTGGATAAAGTATTCTTACCAGAAAAAATCAAAGCTGTTGTTAAAGTAGATCCAATTTTATGTACTGTCAAAGAAGATAAATATCCTTACAGTATAGCATATCATATAACCAGGTAATTTGATGTTTAAAAATATTAATAATTTTAAATGCATCGCAAATACAATTATAAATACACCATATGTATTACATTTAAAAAAACATTCCACTGTTAAAATAAATAAAATAATTCTATTAGACAATACACATTATTCTAAAATATATATAAAAAAAAACCAAAAGAATGATCGATTTGAAATGTTAATTAATATTTATTAAAAGCATAATAATATTTTTTGCTAATAAATATTATTAAATTAATAATCATCAAATGAGACAGTGTCAACACCCTCAGTGAAGGTCCCTCACCCTTAAAATTGGATGTTGAACAAACAATTTAGGTAAATTATTTATGCACCATACTTCCTGAAATAATCAGAATATAAATTGGTGGGGCTGTAGAATTTACAGCCCCCTAAATTGGACATTTTTATTTGAGTCCTTAATTTGTGTATTGCTTGTAATATAAAATGTAATTTTGAAAATAAAAATTTAACATAGGCAAACGTTGACATGGACGTTCATCAAAATGAACTTTTTTTTACGAAAGTAATTTCTTTCCTTTATTACAAAAATACTATTTTCTTAATAATATAAAATATACAGACACATGTATTTTTACTTTCACATAAATCTATTAATTATTAGTTATCTATGTATATGCATAATTGATGATAATATAATTATATAAACATAAATATAAATTATCAAATACCAAGTACAATAAATTTAAAAAAATAATATTTTTATTGGTTTAGTGCAATTTTCGTAGTACTTATTTTTCTTTGCTGTGTTATTACGATATATCAGTACACAAAAATATCTTCCCGACATGATACAACTAAAAAAAGTAAGTATTAACAAATTTATTAGATACAATACATTTTATACCATAAGAAAAATTATTTAAAATACATTAATATTTTTTAATTTCAGTAAACGATAACGATTCAGTTTTATATTCATTTTCATTTATTGAATCTGGCAAAGATTTGTTTAAGTACGATAAAAATAATGAATTAAATCTAATTAATGGATGTAAAGTTCTGACGATGGTGTTCATTCTTTTAGGTCATCGATTTATGTATTTAGCAGGCAATCCAATGACTAATGCTAAAATAGTTGAAAATGTAAGTTTGAAATAAGGTATCTACTAAGACTCTGTATATTAATATTAAACAATATATAAATTTTTTTTCGATAATAATCGAAAACAGTTGAAATAGTTAAAAATAATAATGTGATGTCTTAAAAATAAACAAAAATTTTTAAATATTAGTAAATAATCAATTTAAAAATTATTACTAATAATCAAATATTATATTAAGTAATTAAAAGATTAATAAATAAAATAAAATATTATTTTTATTATTATTTATTATATATAACTGAACCAGGTAAATGGTCACTTTGTACGGTAGGGTAAAAAAGTACGTTTCAGAACGCGGACACTTTGTACTATTATATATATATTATGTACATTTATACATATTATATATACATTGGTAGTGTGGACCATAGTATAGGTAAAATTTTGAAACAAGCATGATCCGTAAAATATACTACAATATGGTATTTGCGGTGTTAAGATTTAGACCTAGTCATAGCATATATTATACATATAATGAACAGTAAGATTTTATATTTCATTTTATAGTAGGTATGTTATATATTATAATAGAAAATAAAATTGCAAAGATTTCTGTTATATAAATTAAAAATTAAAAGTCTAAAAATATAACTAAAAACAACATGTAAAATAAATATAATTTAAAATTCGTAATTAGATATTTGTTTTTGTTGATGCTGGTTACATAAGTCAAATAATGTACTATCTTTAGCCTTGGATATATGTTTCTTATTCAGTTTATTTCCACATTCATCCAACTGGATTGCCCGTAAAACTGTCCAAAAACTCGAATTAGTTGTTCCAACTAATTTATTGATTCATCTATTCCACCCTTCACTGAAATCCGTTCGTTTTCTTTATTTAATTTTGTGAAACAAAGTTGTTGAACTTGTCGCCATACAGACTAGTATAAAATAAAAAAACAACCTTAAATATGGACTGCATTAAAAACTCGATTTATAATAATATACGTAAAGTTTTACGTGGTTTTACCTATACTGCAGTCCACATTACCAATGTATATATATTATATGTATAAATGTACATAGTATGTATATAATAGTACAAAGCGTCCGCGTTCTGAAATTTTTATTTTTACCCTACCGTACAAAGTGTCCGCGTTTCGTATTTTTAGTGTTCGACCGTACAAAGTGACCTAGAACCGCTGAACCCGTGCACTTCGTAGCCCATTAAAAATCCGACATCTTATATGTTTCAAACTATGTGTTAAATTCGTTACCTGTGATTTTGCTAGGAGTATATTTTTATACAAAAAACATAAAAGACCAATAAAAACTTTTAATGGCATAGACCCACGTGCCATGGAAATGAATAATAAAAAATTATAATAACAAATTCAGGGATAATAATTTTTGTCACACTATTATTATTGAAACTAATAAAATTCATCTATAAATAAAAATGTCCATTGTATATCTCAAAATGTCTGTCTGAGCTACTCCGAAATTAGGCATATTACTTTTTAACTTTGTATATCTGCTGCCCATAAGTCTGATATATCTCTATACCAAATTTCATCGCAATCGGTTCTGTCGTTTAGGAATGCATAAAGGACAAACAAACAGAAATAAATTTTATTGCATAGAGATAAATCATTATTTTAATAAAATAAATACTTAATAATTATTCTTTTTTTGAAGTCTCTCTTAAATTTTTTTAATAGGATTTTATTAGTTTAAATTGTTATAGTTATTCAATTATTTGAGTGATCGATTGTTTAAATTTGGTCAATGAATGTAGTAATAATAGTCGATTAATTACAATTATTAAATTTTTTATTATGATAATCGATTAATCGTCAATTATAGATTGTTCTTTAATATTTTGACAATCGATTGTTAAAATCAGCAGTCGGCAATCTATTGTTGATCCCAACAATCACCCAGCCCTAATATATACCTAGTCTCTTAGGATATATATTTAAGAAGGACATATGAATTGACAGAAAACAGCTTCAGTAGACGTCTGATTACCAGAACTAAAAAATTAGTAAATTTATAACTTGAACTCATAAAATTATTTTCGTAAATAATTTCTTATTTAATATTGACAAATATATATTTATAATAATCCACAAGTTTTAAATTTAATAATTTTATAAACTATTAAAAGAATTAAGATTTTGTGACTCAGTTTTGTATGTTTTCAATTTGGAATTATCAAACGTATCATTTAATAAATAAGAATAGTATTATAATTATAATATTTTAATTTATATACAATATAAGTATAATCATTGTGCACTAAAATAAAATTATTTCGAAGATAATTTTTCCTATAGTTGAAATATAAATATTACACTATAAGGGAGAATAAACAAACAAATAATTACAGATTTATATTAGTGGACCTGACATTCTGTTAACCTGCATGAACTTAGTTGATCCATTTTTTTTCATGAGTGGCTATCTTATTTACATTACAATCATACCAGTATTTCAAAAATCTGGACCAATTTGGATGAAAATTGTATCTCCAATTATCTATAGAGTATTAAGGTAACCGATAAAATATTAAGTTTTGAGTCGTTAAATAATGTTATGTTACTATTTTAGAATACTACCAGCATACTGCGCCGTGATGGCGATAACTGCTAATATCGTGCCGCATCTTGGAGACGGTCCACTATGGTCACAAAATACATGGAAAGAAGCCGAGATTTGTAAAAAATATTGGTGGACAAACGTACTGTTTATAAGTAATTTTATTGATTCCAAGTACCAAGTAAGATTTATTTTACGTTTGAAAATAGTTTAGTAAATATTTTTATATGAATATAAATATGACTATTGCAGTGCCTTTTGATGGGCTGGTATTTATCGTGTGATATACAATTTTTCATCATTGGAGTAATTATTGTTTGTGTTTATACGAAGAATGAAAAATACGGAAAAAGTTTAATTGGTGTTTTGATTGGTGTATCGCTCTCTTTGCCATTTATTATCACGTATATGAGGAAAATTGATGGAATACTTAAAGTTGATTTGCCGTGAGTATATGAAAAACAAATAATTTGAATGTACTCAATATTGATATCATTCTATACATCAAAAAATAAATTTTATATACCATTATTTTACAAGATGCAACAGGATTGCTTTAACGGATTCACAATAATCCAAGCTATCGAAGACGTTTGCTATAACTTTTATGCATATATATATTGCAGATATGTGTAATTATGATATTGATATGTTCAATGAAAATTAATATTATTTCCAAAGATTCCATTTACAACTGATTAATGTATTTTCTACTAAGATAATTATTGAATGTTCAATAGAATAACAATTATTTAACACTAGAATATTTATCATTTTGTAAAAACTCTTACGAGTTAATATTTAAGATACGGCCTTGTTAGTTGATTTTAAATATTCATTAGTTATTAGTTGGTTTTCAATAGTCGTTAGTTGTTTGTCATTTGTTGTTAATTGATTGTGAAAATTATAATAATCGGTTATTCAAACTATCGGTTTTGCCTATCACTAATCCCTCACCCCATAAAAAATTCCTGCGCACGACACTATATATAACTATTACGAGAGGTACATATTAATTATAAAATTAATTACAGATTCTTAAACAATCCAAGAAGTTCCACTGTATATAACCAAACATACAGAGAATCTTATTCACGAGCAATTCCTTTCGTCTTTGGGTTAGCAATGGGTTTTATAGTACAAAAATTGAAAAAATCAAAATTCAAATTTTCACAAGTAATTTTTTAATGAGCATTTACACTTTTTAAATACCAAAAACTTTTTATACATATTTAGTAATAGAACATTTATAGAAAACCGTCTATATTGGAACCATCCTCGTCTTCTTGGTTTGTATGTGTATTCAACTTATTGGGGCTGAATTTTATAAAAACGAAAGACCTTATTATCCAATTGAACATGCTTTATATGCGACTTTAAGTCATTGTACTTGGACAACAATTTGTGCATGGATTACTATTTGCCACCTTACAACTGGTTATGGTAAATTAATTTTCATTATAGTTTTAATATAAATATACAACAGTATTCATTATAATGAATAAGTTATAAACCGTAATCCAAAATTTATGAAAGCGATAAATATTTATAACAAGCCCAAGTTCGAATTTTATTAACAAATTCAAATTTTATTGCATCATAATCATTTAATGACTGAAAGTACTAATTTTGGTTAAATCATCGACATTACTTATATAAAAATATACTTTAAATACAATGAATAATTTAATTGTAAGCTACAAGTAGAATTAATTTTCTATGAATGAAATTTACTCAGCGTAATGCAATTAGGTTTTATGATTATGATGTTAAATTTAAATACACAATATATTGCTATTCATAATATAGTTAATTTGTGAAAATTTGGTAGAATAAATTACTTTTACTAATTACAGGATTGCTTTCAAAAATACTTACAAATAGATTATGTGTGATTTTGGGAAGACTCTCATACAGTGTTTTCTTAATCAATTTACCTCTTATGCAAATGTCGCAGAGTTCTCAGCGATCACCAACTTATTTTTCAGCAAAAACCTTGGTAATGCAAATATTAGATTTTAATATACGAATTTTTATATTTAAGATATATAAATACACGTATATCCTGAAATAAATATTTATATTTACTATTTATTTAATTAGGTATATAATCTTAAATTAATTTATATTTATTAAACTTATATATTTCAGTTGGAAATGTGGATTTATGATTCATTTAAATGTTATTTGATGAGTTTTATATTATTTATGATTGTTGAAGGACCATTTGGAAATTTAATGAAGTATATGTTTGGACGAAGGTAAATTATTGTTTTATTTTGAAACCACATATTATTTCAGTTAGTTTAAGCATTTTGAATGATGTCGACTCTAACCATCTCAATTTAGTATTTATTCGCTTGTGATATTGCACTCTTAGCCAAAAGTGAGCACGATTTGGATTTAATATTTGGAAAAATTACCGGAAGAGATAGTAATTGAACTTCTAAAAATGATGTCAGATGAATTGCGTCCCATTTTCATAGGATTAGGTGTATTTTGTCCCTATTTTAATTGAATTATAGTTGAATTGCGTCCTAATGTTTGGAATATTAGTATAATCTAGAACGTAAGAAGAGGAGGTTGGCCATATAGTTTCCCAAAAATTGGTTTTAATTTTTAATTCGTAGATTCATGTGTAGGTAATTTTTTCAATTATTCGTCAATAATTTATGTACAATTAAATTTATTTATAAAAGAATATTATATATGTTAAACTGGAAAAAATTTAAATGAAACTTAGACATATTCAAATTCGGTCAATAATGTATTATTATAATCAATATTTTTCATAAATTATTATTTATGATTTGAGTATTTTGATAAGTTAAAGAATAATAGAAATTAGGCTGACTTGTAGATATAAAAATGAAAGTGTTATTTTACTACTGCTCGTATATCTTAACGACAGTTTTCATGTGTATTATTTATAAATATCATACAGAAAATAAATATCAAGGACCCAATACAGCCATTGTGTAACAATGTTATTTTTTCTTATGGAAAACTCTCCAAATATAGCATTTGAAAACCAACTGGAGATAAACTAGAGTTATGATGTACCATAAATTAGACCAAATCCATAGCTGTAATATTCAAGAAAAAAAATGGGCTGCTTGACCAAGTGTAACATTTTGAGGAAAATCAACCACAACGAACAGGAAAAGCCTACGTTTTTTAATAAAAAAAGGTTTAATGTTCCAACAACATGAGTATGTAGATGAGGAAACGCTTCATAAAAGTATATGTTTGGAGTGTGGAGCTATATAGCAGCCAAACCTAGATACTAAATAAGGCTGATCAGAGAGTTCTCGCGAGCTTTGAAATGTGATGTTATTAAAGGATGCTGTAAATGAGTTTGTAAGAATATCGTATCAACGTATATATATATATACTCAAAACTATTAGAGTAAGACGATAGAACCCAAAAGGTTAAATGAAAATTGGAATGAGTGGATGCCAAACTAAAAAACAAAAGGTTGAGTACAAAAAAAGAAAACTATTTGAAACGATCAAGATTAATTTTGTAAAGATTGATTGGAAACATATTTTAAATTTTAATTAATTATTTATTAGTTTGTTTAAGTATAATTTCATTGAATGAAAGAAAACTATATCACTAATATTCTAGGTTTACTTAGAAAAATATAGATGATTATGTATGTTCAAACAAATTCAACTAATAATGTTAATTAAAAATTAACTTTACTTAACTTATTTTTTAGATAATTTAATAAATATATCACTTATTAAAATAAGATTAGTAAAATTTAAACTTATGATAAGTTTCAATTGAAAAAATTGAATATATTAAAAATATAATAATTAACTATATTTATGTATTTTTAACATTTGTAGGAAGAAAAATATCTCCTCAAATACAAATGAATCACCAATTGAAAACGTAATACGTATCGAGATTTCAAAGGAAGAATCAAGTAAATTATAAAAAACTCCACGAAACAGCCAAGATATTGCTGAATTATCAATTTTATTGATTTTTTTTTTATTAAAAAAATGTACTTTTATTCTATAAGACAAGTATAATTTAACTTCAAAGTTGTATATTATAATTTTGTATGTTAAGTTCATAGTTTGAAAATGAAATGTATACCATTTTAATATTATGTTAAAATAAAATATAATATATGTTTAAATGTAGAGTAATTTTGAAAATATAAGATAGCAATAGTTTGAGAATTGTTATATGTATACTTCATTTCTCAGGAGTAAAATAAGTATTTTCATTAAAAATCGAAATTATTTCATTTCGGACCCTAACAATCATTTTTATAACTATCAGGAAATTTAACTCTATAATAGATCTTGAAAAATATAATAATATGGTCTTGCGATTTGTAGTACACCTTATTAAAACCGTCGTCGTCCTGCTACACTTTATTACATAGCATAATGGGTTGCATACTTAGTGGACCTTTGGCGTACATTTAATTGACTATTTAGAAAAAATTCTGGCGCAAATTAACGTTTAAATATTCTTCATTACGACTACTCCCTTACCGTCGTATTATAAAAATTATCCATTCAAAATCATTCATATAGTTTTAATTTTTCGATTATTTAAACCTCCTTTGAATTTGTATGTTTAAAAACCTTTAACAATACAATTATCTTTATTTAATTAAAAGTAGCAACACTGGTTACTTATTTTTTCGTCTTTAAATTGAATATTGCTGACTTCACCATTTTCGGAAATGGTCAATTTTTTTTCGGTTCTAATACGGTAATACTATCAAGTAAATCTATATAATTGTACATGTACATGTTCTAATTTTGACTGCTTACAACCAATTTCTTGAATTATTTGTTAACCCTCTGTATTGTTGGTTTGTATTATTTTGTTTTGCCTTCCCGTTTTTAAAGGGGATTTAATTTATTAATAATAAATTCAGGCACATTTAAAGCGCCGGCTAGTTTATGTAAGATCAGGCTCGCTTACCATTGAATCAATTACTCTTATTGTTGTTAACCAAAACCAAATCATAAGCTCAGTGGAGCCGAACTCTATATTAAGGTAGGGCCTTGGCCCGACATCTTTTGAAAATTTAGGATGGGGCTGCTTCATATTGGGACGATGTTTGACTGTCAGACCGTGTGAAAGTTCATTACAAAATTAAAGCCTACTCTTCTAACGTCTCTAACTACAGTATTTTGTTTATCTATTGTGTGCACTAAAATGGTTAATATAGGTACCTACAAGGTACTAGTAAAATTAAAGACATTTAATCAGCTATATTTACTTGAATGGTTATTGATTAGTGCGTAAAAATAATTAAGTATTTATATTAATTAATACGTATAAATATATAATGATAAATATTAATTAGTTTTTATACAGAAATAAGTTTTCATACCTAACCATCAAAAATATTACTATACTATTAAGTTTAATAATAATTATTTATTTATAATAATAATAATCATCCGAATCATCAAATACTTTAGGTCAATCACTTTTTGAGCTTTTTAAATCAGTTATGGATAAAATTGGATTAGATTGGAGTAAAAATTTAATTGGACAGTCATATGATAGTGCAGCAAACATGAGGGGATCATATAGTGGACTTCAATCACATATTTTCAAAGAAAACCCGAATGCTCTATATATTTGGTGCCATGCACATAGATTCAATTTAATAGTGTTATCTGCTGTTGACTGCTGTAAAGAAGCAGTAGCTTTATTTGGTAACATGGAAAAACTATATTCTTTTATTGTGGGCAGTAAAAAGACATCGAATATTTACAGAAAAAATCAAAGTGAATTGTATCCAAAGAAACAATTAAAAGAGGCAATCAAAAGAGTCGGGTCTACTAGATGGATGTCCAACTCATTTGCTCTATCTACTGTTCTTTAAATATTAGAAACAATTTTAGACATGCTTGAGCAAGTAAAAAATGTTGAAAGCCCAGTTGTTTTTAAAACTGGTAGTGAGTGTTATGGGTTACAATCATATTTTCAGTCATCACGTTTTATACTAACTGCGTTTATATTTAAACATATATTTAAAGTCATGGAACTTTAAGTAAAATACTTCAATCCCGTGACTTGGACTTAATTGACAGCAGTTGATTATTTAAAAAAGGTGGAATAAAAAATAACAATGATGCGTACTGATGAACAATTTAATACTATTTTTGAAGCACAACAATTTTCCGAAGAACATTTTGGTGATTTTAATATGAATAATTTAATGTCATTTAGAAATTGAAAAAGAAATGTAGTTCGGCGTTCAAGTGAATTCTGCTTAGATGAATCCATTGGAAGTCCTAAACAATACTATAAGATATCAGTTTTTTTTTTTAGTAATTGATATTATTCTACAACAACTTAGCGATAGATTTTATAAAAATACCATATTTGTAATGAAAGATATAGGTTTATTATCCCTAAAGCGTATAAAAGAAGTTGGTCCTGTGCCCCAAGATGCATTCAGTAAAATGTGTGATGTCTATGTAATTAATCAAGAGTCTGTGAGAAATGATTACATACTATTGAAAAGTGTTATCAAAGATTTAGATCTCAATTAATTGACAAAATTACCAGCTAAATTACATGATGACTATGAAAAATATATAAACGGTTCAGATGAAAGTAATAAATAAGATGAAGAAGAACGGCAAGATTTAAACAATTTTGGAAGCTTAAAAAACATTTTTGAAATAATTAATATTTTGAATATTATATTTGTACACAATAATTAAAATAAGTTTAATATTGCCTACTTCTAGTTGTACTGTAGAAAGAAGTTTTTCCAAATTAAAAATCATTAAATCAAGACTGCGTTCCACTATGAATCAACACAGATTAGAAAATTTAATGATTATTTCTTACAAACAGGATATAAACATAGATGTTTTAAAGGTAAATATTATAGAACATTTGTATTGTTCTTTACTCAATTATTAGGTATAACAATTTATAACATTATTAATAAATTATAAACCTATGACCTATCTACCTATATAATTTTGTTTGTTTTAGGTTACAGATATATTTGCAAGAAAGACACCAGTATTAACTAAATTATTAACATTTTAATGTTAATATTTGTGATTGTGTACCACCATGATTCTTTGCAAAAAAAAAAAAAAATGTTTACCATACATTTTGTTATTTCATTTTTGTATTTTATTTAAATAATTTCAAAGTATATGCATTTAGAATATATAAGAATATATATTATCATGGGTGTTTTGGTGTTTATTACCTAATTATAAGGTTAAATATTCTTGTTTGGTATGTTTGATATTAATTGTTTGTTAATATAATTTAGTTATAGGTATGTAGGTAAACATGGATAAATTTAAACGTTTATATGTGTATGTTAAAATAAAATAGGCCATAGGGTTCTTCAGAGACAAACCCAAAATCGTCTTAAGGCCGACTTGGTTGATGGGGAGTTCAAAAAAGTGTAATTTAAATTAACTTTTAAAACTGAACATCAATATATTTTGGGTGAAAATCAGTAACCCACCAAGGTATGTCATTGGGGCCGATACTTAGATATTGTGGCCTTTTCAAATATTTTTCGCCCGACTAAATTTTTAAGACTTCGGCGCCACTGTATAAGCCGCGTCCAGACCAAGAAACATTTGTCGTCGACTTTGTCAACAATGTCGGCGACAAAATGTTTTTAACAATGTCACCGACAAAATTTAAAAACAGGCGCGTCCACAACAAAGTAACATATTTGCTAAACATTTGTGAATTAACACATGTGAATTAGTCTTGGTCAAATTGTGGAACGAGAATGACGTTGCTATTGCTGCAGCTACTTGCGTAATTTTGAGTTTGGAAACGAAAAAGACATCCAAAAAGAGGTATTGGGTTCGTCCTAGAAATACTAGGTTTAGCAAAATAAAAATACAGTGGAAATAATTTAATGACTGATCTTAAACGTAATGACATTGGTCTATATGGAGAATTAAGGTAAAATTATAATTTTTACAAATTAAAATATCAATTTATCTTTATAATTTATTATAACTTAAACATTTTTAAATAATTTCTTATGTAGGTGTAATGGTAGTTTTAAGAATTTTCTACGTGTGTCAAGTGCAGATTTTGAATATTTAATAAATCTTGTTGGTCATCGAATAAGTAAAAAAAGACACAAATTATAGACAAGCTATTCCGGTAAAAAAGAGATTGGCAATAACACTTCGATTCTTAGCAACTGGGGATTCATATCACAGTTAAATGTACGTTTTTAAAATTTCAAAACAAAGTATTTCGGTAATTGTTCCAGAAGTTTGTGAAGTATTGATTGATGTTTTAAAAAATTATTTAAAGGTAAATCGATTAAAATAAAATTATAGCCATGATAAATTATTTATGTGTTAAATAATAGATAATATGTATAATAATAATCATATTTTTATTAATTAAATTAAACAAAGAATCTTAACAATTTTTTTAAAACAATAACGTAAAAAATATGATAGAAAAGAAAAAGCAATCGCTTTATAATAAATACTTACACAGTTAGTAGAAAAACAATTTTTAACGAATAAATTTAAAATAAAAGAAATACATTTTACTAAATATAAAATTAATACGTTATTGCATTTTAAAATACATAAAAAATATTTTTAATCAAATCATAATCATATTTTAGAGTTTTTCACTAAGCATAATGAACAATACCTACTTATGAATAGATACAATTTTTTTTTTTTAATTTCACAAAATTAATAAATATTAACAAAATAATTAAACATGTACTCACTTGATAAAAGTTTATTTAATAATTAACATTTTAATATTTCATCCATACTACTTTCTTTACTCATTGTAGGCGTCGGAGCATTATAACTTAAGCTTGAACTTGCTAAAGATGTACATTTTCTGTTTTTATATATATTTTTAAGTGGCGCACATTGAGGATAATTATAGTTGAATGTTTGCAATGATTGTGAATAAGGTATATTAAAGTTATATTGCTGAAGAGGATTGTTATACTTCCCTAATTCTGCATGATACAAAATATTGTTGATCAGATGTTGTACTGTGCTTTTAGAGTAGTCTGTTGGTAATTTTCTTATTTTACAAGCGACAATTTCCCCAAAAACATTATATTCATCTCTTTTTTCTTGACTGTTGACCATTGATTTTATAACTTCATATGCTTCTTTGGCCTTTTGATTTTTTTTTCTTTTCTAATTTTTTTCTTATTGTTACATTTGGCGGTGTGAATATTTTGCCAGAAATTGAAGTTGTATCACTAGAATATTCTCGCTCTTGATTTTCAAAAATTTTATCTTTGCTCGTTTCCATTGTTCTACATTTTTCGGTAGAGCTTTCATTTATGACCTGTTAATAAAAATTATAAATAACTATAAATTTTTAAAATTTAAATTTCATTATGTTTTTTGTAAATAGTATTCATTTAAGTAGTAAAAAATAAATTGGTAAATATAAATATTAGATGTGTGCAATCATATAATAGTAGCGAAAAAAATTGGAAATAAAATATATGTTAAAAATGAGAATAAAATATATAATTACAATTTTAAATATTTTAATTTATTTGTTTAATCTACTTCATGTAATTTTAATTTTGAAAATATTTTAATATTACGCCAAATAATGAGTATGAAAATATTTATTCAATTATAATTTAATATAAAATAGTGAAATATTGTAAAAATATTATTTTTAAGATGCCAATGACAAAGGAATAATGGCAGCTCATTGCCCATGATTTCAACCAGCAATGAAATTACCCTTTTTGTCTCGGCTCAATGGACGGCAAGCTCATTATGTTACAAGCGCCAATAAATACTGGGAGTGAATTTATTAATTATAAAGGTTTTTTTAGCATTATACTTTTTGCTGTTGTCGATGCTCATTACAATATTACATACGTAAACGTTGGATGTCAGGGTCGAATATCTGATGGTGGCGTGTTCGCAAATACTACAATCAAAAAACTTTTAGAAGAACAAAAATTAAATTGACCTGAATAAAATGAACCTTCCTGGAAGAAATAAGTTCGTGCCATATGTTTTTATTGCTGATGATGCCTTTCCTTTGAAAGAAAATATTATGAAACCGTATCCTGATCACAAGATAAAGGTTCAAAAAAAAGGATATTCAATTACCGATTAAGAGTAGTTGAAAATTCATTTGGTATCATATCAGCAGTATTTAGAGTGTTTCGAAAACCTCTACTTTTAGAACCAGAAAAAGCAAAACTTATAACTTTAGCATGTGCACATTTGCACAACTTTTTGAGAAAAAGTACTACATCTAGATCAAACTATACACCACTGGGTAGTTTTGATCAAGAAGATTTGGAAGGAGGTATGATAATTCCAGGTAATTGGAGAAAAGATAAATTTAATTTAACATTTATAACAAGAATACCAAGAAAATTATCAACAGCTCCGCAGTAAATCAGAGATGAATATTGTAATTTTTTTCAAACACCTGATGGTAAAGTGTCTTGACAAGAAAAGTATTAATGATAAAATAAAATAGTATACATTTCTCAATATTAAAATTTAAAATTACTACTTACCCTTCGTGATAATTCTTATAATTTATTATTATACAGACGCAACGTACACAACACACCAATAAATGCGCGTTTTTCGATTTACTTTATTCATCATACTATTATGGTCATTATAGGCATAATGAAAATGTTAAATATAATCTTATTTTGTAAATAATTTACATAGATTTACCAATTAAACAAAAATCGATGATCCAATAATCGCTAGAGGCACGACAGGTTCCGTTTGTATCATTATAGTTATTACTACAGTCTATAACAGCGTTTCCTAAACTGTGGTCCGCGGACCCTTAGGGCTTCGCACGTATACCGGAGGGGGTCCGCGAAAGTAAATTTAAAATTTACAAAGTATTATTATATATTATTGTTTCTTAATTTTTATTTGTACTAAGGAGTCCACGATCATTTTTATTATCTTTAAGTGGTCCGACAGAAAAAAAGTTTGGTATTTCAAATCATGTTTCTTTAATAAATAATTGACTGCAAGAAAACGTTATATACATATATTTTGGTCTTTTATTTTTTGCTTAACATGATCATTACTCATTACAAACTGAACTACGCATGGAAATCCTTAATGTAACTAGATTATCCTGAACTTCATGCGATGACACATAGAAATTGAAATGTGTAGTCAATTTTGGGACCCTTACAGTACTTCGCATACAGATTAATAATTTACATTAAATGCTCAATCTAAATGTGTCTACGTATGGAAGTCTTTTTTGTGATAAGTTTTTAGTGATGCTCGTGAGATGGATAATGGATATAAAACCAGGAGGTCACATTTGAGATTTAAACAGAATATCACATATTAGTGGAAGTCACACTATTGCACACCGGGTGACATACAAAAAAATTTCGGGCTTCGCTTATATTTTATAACACGTTTATTACTGTCACATTGACAAAAAAATTTAATCAAAAAAAAATAGATCATGGTTACTTTTTTTTACGTCGGTATTCTTCAAAGACTTGTTTTGTTTTCACTATTCGGATCTACATCTTAGGGACATAATTTACTAATTTATTATTATAATTTACCAGGTACTCCACCGCATAATTTACAGTTGAAGGTGGGATCGATCATAATCATATTGCGGAATCTGAATCATCTCAAACTATGCACCGGTACGCGTTTGACCGTCAAGAAAATGATGAACAATGTGATTCAAGCGACGATCATCAAAGGAAAATTCAAAAGAGATGAAGTCCTTATCCACGAATTCCGATTGTTCCAAACTGATCTTCCATTCCAATTCAAGTGAATTAAGTTCCCCGCTCGATTTTTCGCTTTTGCGATAATAATCAATAAATCGTAAGGCAAATCGTTGGAAGTCTGAGTGATTAATCTCGAATTTTCAAGTTTTTCGGACGGTCAGCTGCCATTTCATGTGTTGGCGAACCGTCTACGTTGTTTGTTTTGAAATTAAACGAAAAAAATTGTTTATCATATCGCTCTCTATTGATTTCGGTTCCGTTCTAATAAATCAAATTGAAATTTAAAAACTACATGTGTTTTATTATCACTTTGGAGTTTATCTGAAGGCGTTAAATTGGGACGAGACGAAGTTCGTCAAGTCCGCTAGTATTTATATAATTATTTTGATCTGTACTATAGGTTATTAAAACAACGGTTTTAATTGTCAAATATATTTTGGATTGTTCGGCTAACTAAAATATTTTTAGCCAAGTGTATGTCCACGACAGTTCACCGAGTTTTTCGCAGTTAAATCACATACCTAATATACCTAATTAACATAGCGTACTTATTCACGAGTAATGTACACTCATGAAGTGGTGCACGCAGTACGGCGACGTCGGCTGTTGACTAGTTCCTTATCCGTTTCTTTGAGTTTCCAGTTCATAATAATTATTATTGTCAACTGTTATGTAACTTTTGTATTTGTAAGTTTTCGTACGTCGGTCGCGAGATTGAGTCGCCCTATTTGTTGGTCGTTATTGTGACATCACGTATTTTTTTTCGTTTTTTCTCTCGTCATTGAGACTTTTAGTATTATTATATCTATTTCTGTCTGCCATTGAGGCAACATAAAATATTTGTTTTTTTTTTTACGCCACTGTGGTGGATTATTAATTATTATTATTATTTTTTATACTGTGTCTGATTGATACCATATGCAACTTTAAAGTTACCATAAACAAAGGCCGTCTGATTACCAAAACCGTCTGTGAGTTATTTCATTGTCGTGTTTCGTGTCAACCACTTATCTGCGTCCGATTATGTCACTTGGGCATTGACATAAATCCGCCAGTACTCGGAGAATGTGTGTGAGGCCTTCCAGGTTAATCTGATGTCAATCACCATCGTTACCGTTATCCTGTCTAGTCAAGTCATCTTTGTAAGTTAGTTTTTAAGTTGTGGCCTGATTATTTAATTTTAGTATTTGTCCGATTTGTGTGTGAGCTCTGTGGTTATCGCACCAGACCGATTCAACCACAGAGACCTCCCCACCGATAAATAAGCTCTTATTCCTCTTTCCCTTGTATAATCAATAAATTGCTCCGTTCCTTTATCGTCGTTGACGCCGTCGCCGTCACTGTGTCACCACAGCCGCCGGCCATTATCGCGGAGTCATTCAATAGCCATTATGTTGCCTACACAAACGACACTCTGTGTAAAAGTGCCTACACACGACGCCGTAAAATATTCATAAAATCTAGTCATTTTCTACTTTTTATTTTTTTTCTAAGTTATACAATTACGTTAACAGTACCTAACCTAGTCGTGTACACGAAATAAAATAGTTAAAATCTAAAAACAATAACCACGTTTTGTATTGAACGTATTGAACGTATAAACAATGATTTAAATATTCATTAATACATTGTTGTTGTCGTAAACATGTTAACATTATACCGACGACGTGGTTCGGAGCCTTTTATGCAAATCGGTCGACCGACATTTATTCTTGAGCACGGAGGCTACGGCTTGAACGAGTATGCGTCGGGCGGTAGCCGAGAAACGCATACGTCGCGCACGGTCCACGAGCTGTAGTAGAGTATACTCGAGGCGAACACACTGTCGTCACTCGAACCACGCAGCGGTATTGCGAGGATGGTCAAGGAGCGCGAGGTGCTAGTTAGCCGGGACCGGAGCACCGGAGCAGCCGGCGGCAAGCCACGGAGACGGCGGCGGAGCGACGAATGCGTGCTAGTGCACGGACTGTGCTCCACGGCCATTGCTTTGACCGTGTTGCGCGCGATATCGGCCACCGTCGCCGCGGCTGTCCGCACGTGCCTGCACAGCCTGTACGGCGCGTTCCCCGTGGCCAAGCTGACCACCACCCTGACGAAGACGGCCGGCGGCTTGCTTCCGTTGCTCAGCGGATGGACGTCTTCAGCAGCGCTGTACGCCGCCACGCAGTTCGGACGGAGCAAGGCCACCGGGCAAGGCCACCGGCCCGGAGCCGACCGCTCCAACGCTGAGGAACAGCGGGCCTACGGCCGGTCCAGTTCCGACGACATGGCCGTCGGTGCGGATCAAAGGGCCCGTGACCGCACGCGTTCCGACCGACGTAAGGACCGATCACCGGCCTGGACCGATCGCGTTGCCGTTACTGCTGATGGTGACGCGTGGATGCCGCTGTTGCAGGTGGCGGGACGTGGCCTACAATCGTTCCTTCGTAGCGGCCGCGGCCACGCGACTCGTTCCAGCCGTTCACAACTACGGTACTGATCAGTGGCACTAGGTTAGCTTATGCGCTGCATTGTTTCACATCCATTGTTTGTGGGCATCTTTTTTTTTTTTTTTAGTAAAATGTACACATTTATAGTGGCGTATTTACGAGGGGAGGGGTCCAGGGGTACTAGACCCCTCCCCAGAACCTCTCCAAAAAATAAAAAATAAACTAAAATTCTTACAAATTAGCAGAATTGGCTATGTTAAACACCCACAGGGAAATTGAAATTACTGTTGATGAAGTGATAGAGGAGTTGGCCAAAAAATCGAGACGACTGGAATTTATTTTATAATAATACTTTATAATATATAGTGCTAAATACAAAATATACATATATAATATTACATAAAACTATACGATTATTACATTATATATTTAGTTCAACTTCCTCCAAAAACTACATAAGGACGTAACTATTACAATATAATATATAGTTTATATTAATTATGTATAAGCTGTGGACCCCCCAGAAAAAATTGAAAATACGCCACTGCACATGTACCGTGAACAATATTCAAATCGAACATCGAATCCATCGTTCGTATAGTTCCAATAATTATAAAAATTTTGAATATTTAACCTCTGGACTTTTTTTTTCTTTTTCTGAGCCTCTTTTATGAAACACTTACCTTACACATCAATATTATTTATATGATACTGATACTATAAATATATAAAATAAATACAGGTAAAAGTTTAAAATGTTTTACTATAAGTAGTATGAAACAACTTAAAATGAAAAACACTTATTGGAATTAGCCATCGACATACGAAAATAATTATAAAATTTCTGTTCTCAGTCAGGTTTAAGTAAAATTTTTCAAAACGTTTTTCACATGATGAACTATTCTCTAAAACAGCATTTTCGATGTACCAAACGTTTCTTATAAACATTTCTAAACCAATAAAAAATGAGTGGAACACGTGAATCTATGATAACAATTATGTGTTGCCTGCCGACAGTGCTAGTCAAGTCCATGCATGTCCATGCATCAAAACCCGTACGTGAAAAAATCGAATCGAATATTGTGCCTGTGTGACCTGCTGTCTTGTATTCGATAAAATTATCTGCGTGAAAAAATCGAATCGAACAGTCACGGTCTGAACGTAACCTTAAAAATAAATTAAGTTAACAAAACACTAAACAGGTTACTAGTAAATAAAAATATTAAATTATTAAATATTATATTATTTAATTTAAAAATACTGTTTGGTACTAATTATTAACGAACAATGAATAATTATTAATTATTGTTTATAGAGTATTCTAATATTAGAATCACACTATCATCACCATCACAAAAAGTCGGAATCACGGTCTTAGAAGATTCTATCTTCTAAGACCATGGTCGAAGGTCAGAACTATAGTAAAAATAATAACTAATAATCTGTTATTCAAAAATTCAAGAACACCAACTTAGTATATTTATAAACAAAACTCCACGTTTGGTACGAGTATTTTGTGAAACAAAAGTACATTGGAACACGTATTTTGCGGAACAATATGCAATATTCCACTAAAGTGTATATCAGACAAATGCTTATCACTCGATATTTGTATAAAATTCAAAAATTGATAATGATTCTCAATTTATTTTGAAATAAAAATGTGTTGAAATTCTTAAATATTTGTTATTACTTATTTCTACAATTATAACTAAAAACACGTTATAAAACACTTGGGACACTCATTTGTTATTCAGGGGACGTAGTATTTAAGCCCCTGATGTATTTACAGAACTGTTAAGTGGTATTCGTTAAAGCGTTGAACTGGATATTTTACGTACAGGCACGTGCGTTTAATGATGAATAACGATTTATCAAAAAACACTTCCAGTCCATCAGTGTTTGTTCATCGAGTCGAATTGAATTCCCTCTTCCTATCACTTAAATTTAAATTATTATTGAATATTAAATAAAATTACGGTCGATTAGTATAACAAATTATATTTGAAATTCATTTTTAGGAGTTAAAAAGATCAATACTTTCAATAAATGAGTAAAAAGATAGTAATAAAAAATCTAAAAATTCATATATTATTGTATTTAAATTTATAAATTAGGTACAAGATAAAATATCCAATTTTAAATAATCTATTATATATACCCATGTATAAATGCATTAAAATATATTTATATTATTACTTAATATATTATAATATATATAAGTTTAGAAATATATGGTTGAAGTATACAAATCAATACATATAAAAATATACTATGAAAAAAAAACAATAAAAAATTATCTCACCACTTCAGATCTTTAGTAAACATTTAAAACTATATATCTAAATTTGTTCTGCGAAATACATTTGAATTTCCTTAATAAGAAAAAAAAATCACATTTAAAACAATTGACAAGAAAATTGTACATAGTAAAATAATTATTTATAACATTCATAGAAGTAATTATCACTTATAAAGCTGCACAGAGATTCATAAATAAAAGTAGATAGGTGGGGTGCTGTTAAATATCTTAAAATTAATAACCGGCAGTTTAATTTTTGTAGAATTTTTAATAAAGTTAGGTACATTTAAGTGCTAGATTTTAAATCCACATACTTTAATTAAATAATTAATATTAATAAAATCATTTATAAACACAATCAATAATAACAAAAAAAAAAAAAGAATCACAATAAATCACAAAAAAAAGACACTTAACTTTTGTATTGTTTAAATATAAACATTAGTTTGTGTTATACAATAATAATATTGTATAGGCTTTGGTTTTTTTTGGGTTAGGTTATCTTTTTGTGAACAGACATAGCTTCTTTTGACAATATTATTATGTTAAAGCTAAACCCAACTTAGCGAACATCATTTGTTTCCGCAGTCTTACAATTTCCCAGTACATATCATTTTCTGAAAAAAAAAATGAGAATATTAACAGAAACAATGGAAACTGATATTGCATATTATTGTTGCTGTAAACACATCACTCTATGATGATTAAAAAATGTGAATTAGTGCAATGTAAATAATAATTCGAGCTGTGCTTACACATAGTAATTGTCAATCATCTACTAATTATAATATTTTTATTTTTTTTTTTAAATAACTAAGCTTAGTACTATATTATGAAAAATGTGGATAACTTAAGTATAGTATAAATTTACATACTAATTAAGTAATCATGTCTTGCATGCTCTATGCTCTCTTTCTTTAATTAAAGTATGGAAAAGTCTAAAAATAATTAATAGCAAATAACAATTTAGTTAAATTAACTATAGTTAATTTATTAACTTAAAAGCAAAATATTTTCAGTTTTAAATTACTAAAATGTTTTAATTTTATTTTTACACTACAAACATTTTGGTAAAATGCCTAATAAAAATATTTTTATATTATTTATATATTAATATAAAATAACATAAAATATAGTGTAAACAATTTGTTCATTATGTATTTTCATTGAAAATAATAAGAATTTTGCAAATACCTGTGTAGTTAATTTTACAGTTTATTCGAGGATATTAAAATTTGATTTAAAGAAAATGATTAGAATAATAAAAAACTATGTATGGTAAATTAAAATAACAACTTTGATTAAGTATGATTTATGTGATTAAATCTAAAACTACAATTAAAAAGCTATTGTTATAAATTTGGTACAACTAAGAAATCTATACAAAATAGAACATAAAGAAAGAAATTACTATTTAAAATAAAAGTACATAAATTATATTTATCTAAAAATCTACGTGAAGTAAATTAAGGATGATAATTTAAAAAATGAATACAGTATTAATTAAAAGCTATAAAAATAATATGCATATATGTGTGTTAGAGTGTACATATTATTATATTACTAATGTTAAGGCGTAAATCATTGTAATATTAGAACAAAGTTATTTTACTATATTTTTAAATGTGAAATATGTGAATAGTTTGATGTTCACATTGATCCGATTACATCCAATAATCCATCTTGACAATAATACAGTATACTTTTAATGGTAGATATTACTCCTGCAGTCAAACATATTATTTGAGAACTTTAAAATGTTATTTTTTAAGTATAATTTTCATCTAATACAAATTACGAAATACTTTCAATTTTCTTACAATTTATTGAGTAATAATAAGTTTTAACATGATCACTGCATATTAATTTTATAAAGATAAAATTATTATTTATAAAATATAAAATATTTTAAAGTAGTAAAAACATCTTTTAAAAAAATGAACACATTCAAAATATGAAATTACTTACCCTAATTATTCAATATTTTTATTCAATTTGTCAAAAATAAAATATGAAAACTTTTTTCTTATAAATCATGACCAATAATTATTAAAGCGATAGGAAAAATTAAATTGAATTTATCAACAGAATAGGATATCTTATTTTCAATTTTTTTTACTATTTTTATCTATTATAAAACTATTTGAAAACTTTTAATTATTAATTTTCTTACACAATATAATTGTTTTAAATCATGTATCTAATAATAAAATAGGAAAATAAAATGTTAACATTTATTTTGCATTGATATTTTCCATCGAATAATTTAGCATGATCAAAAATACAATAAGTAATGATAAAGACAAAAAAAAAACATTAATATGATTAAAAACTTGTAATATACATTTTAAATGAATTGTATGCTATGTAATGTGAGCTTTAAATATGAAATATAATATCAAACAAGACACATATTATTTTTAGTTATTTTAGAGACAGATTATTTTCTCTTTCTCTTAACAACAAAATATTAATCTTCATTAATCATTAAATGTTTATTTTGGTAGAAAATTTGTGTTAACTTTACTACCAGAACAAATGTAATATTGTGTAATGAAAAAACAATTTAATGCATAGATTATTAATTTTATGATTTATGAACTTCAAAATTATAATGTATGCAAATAAAAATGGCATATGAAACAATATATAGTTAATGATACATGAATACACTTAAGGACCTTTTAAAAGTAATACAAAATGTTTAAATTTTATTATTATCAATTTTATTGTAAATAATTGTAAATACTATACTAAATAAGAATCATGTTTTTTAATTAGTTAACCAAGAATATAAGTTTCTCGCTATAAAAGTTAAAATAAATTAAATACATTAAAATATAGATGCTATTAAACAATGCAATTATCACATTAGAAATAGTTGATAGTAATAATTTTTTATTATTAAAACATTAATCTTTAATTGTATTAGGTAGTTAATATGCCTATCCACATATTAGCAATGAAAATAAATCTATATATCGTTATCTACTATTCTATTAAGTTACTACTTTCTTCTAATTTTAGTAATTTAAAAAACTTAAATTTAATTTTGTACAGAAAAGGTATAAAATATTGATGCAAGCTCAAATAAATTTAATATTCATATGCTACAAACCTTGACTTTTGACAAGGCCTCTTTGAATGTATCTCAGATAGTTGAGGAAATCACATACAGCTGTAATCTAAAAACAAAATTAAATTAAAAAAGTGCATTATTTAATTCAGTTAAGTTTTTCAATTTTCATTATTTTATTTAATTATTTAAATATACTTGAACTTAATTTTTATAGTCGAGAGTAAATATTATAAAAATAATAAATTTATTTTCCTGAAGAATTCTACTTATTCTTATAAACTTTAAATACTTTTATAATTTTTTTTTTTTTTTATTATTTCTATTATAACAACAAAAAGTATAAATATCATGATCAAAATGACTTTTAAAAGTTTAGAAAAAATATTTATAACATTTATATAAATTTTACTAGTTAAAATATTGTATAACAATGATGAATATGTTGAATATTATTTTTATAGTTTTTAGAGTCGTGAGAATTATTTGAAAATTAAACAATACTAAACACAAAAAAATGTCTAAGGATATACAATATCTTTTTAATATATGTTATTCACATTTAATAAAATTATTTATTAATATAGATTTAAAAATCTTATCTTACCCAAGAAATGAATGTATTACAATGTAAAATGTTGATAATACAATATATGAAAAATGTATTTTTTTTAAATACATTTTACATTAAATATATTTCAAAATATTTAAATAATACTAAAAATACAAAACTTACTCTATTTCGACAAATTCGAGATATACAAAAGCATTCACCATCTTCTCCTCCCAAATTCATTCGATAGAGACATAACATTGGTAATTCCATTAAAGCACATTTTCTGTCACATTCAAAAAAAAAAAAAAATAATAATAATTATAAAAATAGTTGCATACACCTTGATAGTAAAAATTTCATTATTATTTATTAATTGAATTACTACTAACTTCAATAATAAACTATTAAATATAAAACCATTGTCTTACTTTGGGAAATGAGACTTAGACTTATCCATAGACTCTATAAAAAGATTTCCAGATTCTATTGCATGTCTTACATCCATTGCTAGAGTAGAATTGTTAAATTCTAAACATTGATCTATATCTTCTCTATATATTCTACTTATAAAAGCATCTGATTTGTCCAAAGTAGGAGATTTCATCCATAGTACAAATTCTCGATGAACGTTTGGATCTACCTAAAAATTTTAAGGTTAAAATTATATCTTATATATGTGTATATAAATGTATTATTACCTCAGCACTATTGAACACATCTAATGATTCAGTGCCTATTATTGTTTGATTAGATTTTTGTTTAAATGGAGAATCTGGTGGTGAATTTTCTCTACCATACTTAAGATTATTATGTGATGGAGATCTTTTATGTTTACGATAAAATAGTCCAACTCCACTTAAACCTCCTTTAAAATAATAAATACATTAAAGTGAATTTCAATATAATTTTATTTATTGGTTTTATTATAAACAAACATTTTATTATATAAATAAAATTAATATATATATATATATATATATACTTCAATGTTACTACATGGATAAATATTTATCAAAGTTACTCATATTAGATATGTTTATACAAAAACAATTAATTTAAATAACAAAAATCGGTTTGAAAGTGTATTTTTCACAAATTAGTTGTTATCTTATGGTATCTTACACTAAATACTACATGAAACATAATTATCATTCTATATATTATTTTAAACAATGAAAAAAAATCTAAATATAAAATATAAAATTAAATCTACAATGAAGGATTTATATTTAGACGAACCAGTTTTCAGAGTTCAAAAAATAGATATAGAAAAATTAGATTAAAGTTTTCATGAATTTAAAAAAGAAGATTTTACAATAGTAGTCATAGATACAAATAATGGAGCTGCAATAGCTCTTGCCATCAATAATGTTATAAAACCTAATAATGCTTTGCAACAAAAATAGCATATTGGTGAGTAATATCATACAAGTAGGTACAATATGATAAAATAAATAAATCTTAAATTTTATTTTAGAATTTTACAAAGTAAATACCGATTTATACAATGTTTTACAATTTTGGGTCATTGATTTAGTGACCCATGTTTATTTAAAATGTTTAATGTAGATACTATGTGGCAGATAAATATTTTAACTACAGCTCAACAATACCGTGACCAAAGATTATCAATATCTATTGCTAAATGATCATTTGAAGAAGCTATACTCAATGATGAAATTTAAATTATTAGTATGGACTATACTAATTATATCAGTGCAAAAATAGCTAAGAATTTAGGCAGGAAATGTATGGTTAAAAAACATTTTAGTGAATATAAAGATGATAATGGATACTCTTTGTTTAAGAATACACCAAAACAGTTTAATGCAGCGTTTCTCAAACTGTGGGTCGCAAGAAGTTTTATTAATTATACAGATTGTAAGAAATTTATGTTTTTTTAAATTCTATGGACTATAGATTATAAAACTAATAGAAAATATTTAAATATTAATAATAATAATAAAAAATACTTTATTATTATTATTATTATTATTATTATTATAAGGTAGTAAAAAAGTAATAAAATAGAAAAAATTTGTTTTTTGAAATTATTTTTATTGATTCTGTAAATGTAAAACCATGGAGTCACGATAGATTTTGGGAAGAAAATTTGGGTCGCGGTCCTAAAAATATTGAGAACCACTGGTTTAATGATTCAGTAAATATATTCATTTATAGAAAAAAAGTTATAAAATAAAACATATTTAATTATTTTTTTTTTATAAAAACTTTTAAGTGTAAAAATTATTTATAAAAACTATAAATATATGATATTTATATAGATATAAATCAAAGATTATTAAACTATATATTTGAGTAATTATGTGTAATGTAATCTAGTTTATCCTAGAATTTGGTGTAAAAGATTTGTTAGTAACAAATAACAGGTTTATTCAGAGACAAATTATTATAAAACTACCAAGAGCAACCCCACTCTTGTCCAAAAAAGAAGAGTCAGCGTGCATCTATGTGGATAAATTAAGTAGATAAAATATACTATAAATTTAAAATTTACAATTTACAATTAATCTACAATGCATTGTAGCAGTGCTAATAATTACGTTTAAGTAATCTGTGATAATATCAATTTTATAGGTGGATAGTTTTATGAAATGTGCTCCTTGAATTTTTTAAATTTAAGCCGACATCAAGCTTATTAATTTATTAATACTACTTGGTGCTGAATTAATACCTGGCATTGAAATACTATCTTCTCTAGATAGATTTGGATGACTTGGTGTAGAAGTTAGTACTAGAGTTTTTAATGCTGCCACTTCAGCCGATAAAACATCAACCTTCATTGAAGACTCTTTTAATGCTCTTGTAGCAGCTGCCTGGCGTAAATTTGCTTCTTTTACCATGTTATGAGCTTCCTATAAGAAAAAAAATTAAGTTGAATTAAAACAGTTTTAAAATTTATATATTAATTCCTTACTTGAAATAGACTGGCTGTTAGTTCTTCTAATTCTGATTCAACATCTGCACGTATTCTACTTAAGCGTGTTACTTCTTCATCTCTGAGTTTTAAAGTTTCATTAGCTTTTTTTAATTCTTCTTCAAGTCTAGCGAATGCATGTTCTTTTACTTCATTAACTGATCTATCCCAACTAGATGCTGATGATTCCATTCCACTGTCAATATCAGGATCAGGAATTGTAGAGTCTATGATTTGAGTTTCAATTGGTTCGTTTTTGTTAACCATTCGTTCACTGAGCAAACATTCTTTTATCCCAGCATAAGAGGCACCGTTTTTCGTTACCAAACAATCACCTTTAATGGTAGCAAAGCAAACCAGATGTTTTTTCGGAGATAATATTAACTCATTATCATTGGCCATTTGGGAAGTTTCAGGAACATGAAGAGATTTATCAATGGCATCAGACTCAGATAATGACTTGTTCATGACAAACTGCTTCTGATTATTTTATACAAACCTAAATATTAATATAAACTAAACTATAAAATTGTTACTTAACACTATAAGTCCTAAATAAGGATGTATTATACTTAAATTTATAAGTAAATTGAAATCTTCCTATAACAGAATTAATAAGAAACAATTCATTTTTCTAAAATACTTAATGTTCACAATGCATTTGAAGTAGGACTGCTTATATTTTTCATAGCATAACATTATAGGTTCGTTACTGAAAGGATTAACAGAAATAATTTTTTCATTTATATTCTTTAAAAATTACTTGAAATAGATAACATACTAGTTTAGAATGAAAAACAATTTAAGACATTTTATTTTTTGTTCAAAGTTTTAATTTTAAACGTTTTAAATTAAAACTATAAAACTAATGTTTTGAAAAAATGATTTTTTAAAAAATGTTTAGTTTATTATTATAAAATTTTATTTTAGAAAAAAAATTATTATGGTTAACAATGTAGTCACAAAAATATGATAATTATTAACAAAGAACAATGGAAATATTTTTTAATCAATTGGAAAATAATAGGAATAAAAATATAACAAAAAAAAATAATATTTATTAATACATGAAAATTAATATGTGAACATTAAATGTACCTATGTTTAAATATTTAATATTTAGAAAATTGGATTGCGTTCATCTGGTTGACCATGATAAAATCAATAGTTACAACAGCCAATTTCATTGATATGAGAATATAGAATGAGAATAATTTAACAACTAATGGCAAATAAGCTTAATATTTATTTTCCAAGAGTGTAATAGGTACCTATTAATAGTCACAATTTAACATGATGCACCAAGTAGAAAGTGGAAATCCACGACTATGTAGGTACTACGACGGTGGCAGCTGTTTTGTTGAAAAAGTATCACTTTCACCTTATATTATTATGAATCGTCAATCAGTCTGCATTGCAGTTTGTTGACAATAATGAAAAAGGGATCTCGCGGAAAACAGCACACGCGCAACAAATTTCGGGAAACATATGTCGCACGGGTTTCACGGTAATGTTTAACGGGCAAGGGGCCGCGACGACGGTCAACTGCGCGAACAATAATAATGATTATTAGTCATTTACGGGCGTAACGGGCGAACCTTACGATAAGAAGAGTAAACTCAATGGTGAAATCCGATACTCACACGTATTGTATCCGGCCATGGTGCACCGCTGTTCCGACGGCGAAACAATAACGAAACAATCGGCCAAAGCGTTCGTCCGCAGACCGTCCGACGTACAATTAACTCGAACGTGCACCGGACAACGGATTGCAGTCGAATTTTTTATTTTCCAATAATTTTCATTGGAATTGATCATGTATTTTTTGTACAACGGTAAACTATATACACAAATAACGTAGGTATAAAATATTATCGCAGTTAAATTAAGCAATAGCAGTAGAGTGACAAACAACAATAACACGGACACGCTCACACGCACAGACTGGCTTGACCCTGATAACGACGAACGATTTATCATGGGAAATGATTTACGAATTATTGTATTTTTTTTTTTTTTTGCTTTCGGACCGCCCACCGTAACGTTGTTTCTCTGTTTCTCGCGCCGTGTTCGAGCGGTGAAAGAGTAGCTGGAAGGGGAATCGACGGTGAACGCTTGCTGCAGTGCGTTCCCAGAGTCGCGCTCAAAATATCGGTTTGCTGTACGCGAATCCGAATCATGACAAAACCGTATGTATGAAGTCCGCTAGGGCTTGGCAATATTCCCCGTGGTCTTGCAATGCCCTACTTGCAATCTCGGATCTCAAATAATACACGTTTGTAGAAAGTGTAAGCATTTCGCCGCCCCCATCCCCAACCGTACTGAGATATTCTTATTATATGTGCTCAGCACATACTATGTACGGGAGAATTCAAAACTGTTCAAAACAGAGATCTTTCGTGCGTTAGAAAGCCACAGCACGCTTCGTTCGCGATTAACTTTTCCTATTTCGTTACACACTTTTAAACAATACTTATTATTCGTATAAAATCAAAAATAACTATCTTATGACAATATAATATGGGCAGGTATACACCATTGCATAACTTACGTATTATAGTAAAAAACAAACTTTTACAGAAGATTTTTTGTACATTTGTGTAACGTAATAATATTTTATAAAAAACTGTATTTTATTATTGTTCTCGTAATGACATAATGAATCAATAGTCAACGCTCTTATCAGTCAAGTATTTTTACCATAATATTAAAAATATACTATCGTCCTATGTATGCCAGGGTGCGCTATTGATGCCCCCCTGAACGTCCGAACAGGAACGAATCTGAATCCTGTTTAAGGGGGCAAATAAAAATTTTATTTGTATGACTACATATCTATATTAAAACTATTAAATAAATCTGTGATAAAAAAAAAGCATAATGGTGAGTGGGTGACCGCCACGTCTCCCTCTATAAATCCATCCCTGCATCCGAACCACTTCTTGAATTTAGCCTGACTATCTTTTTTTCCGTGTAGTCTTGGCTCTCGCAGTAAAAATGATATTTATATTTTTCTTACGTGAGCAAGATATATAACTATAATAACATTATACTAGTTGAATCGAAGGTGGCACGAGTACGGGTAAGTGCAGTGACGGATTAACCAATAGCCTCACGCTCGAGCCTAGGACGGCAATTTCTATTTATTCGAACAAATAACTTTTCTAACACTCGTCATTCGAAAATATGACCTTTGAAAACATGATATTCGAAGACATGATCCGCTCCCATTTTTAGGGGACAGCCAATTTTTTATGTTTTATTTTTTTACTCTCAAACAAAAATGAAAAAAAAAAATTATTGACATTCAAAAACTCATTAATTTTGGTATCAGAAAATTCGAAATTTAAGCCAAAATCGTTTTTCAAAAGTTTTTCTCACTAATAAGACGACTGAAAATATTAAATATTGATATATAAACTGATTGACGATAATATTGTTGGCGAGTTCGCGAGTAAATATAAATCAATTTATCGACGAAAAGATATGATTATTTTCAACCCATATTACACAATATACGTATATACTAATTGACATAGTGACAGTCGTAATCGTAATGATATTATTTAGGTTTATTATTATGACTATAAATTTATTGTGTTTAAACACATGGGTAAGTACCCATCACATTATTTTTCAATTATTTTTTATTTTTATTTTACTGTGAACATCCGAACACATTGGTCACCCTCGCCTTTTGTAGTTTTCTATACCTTCTAAAGACAGTGGCTGTTTCTCTGCAGCGTAGTTCGAACAATCACAAGTACAACTTTATTTCTTGAAGGTCTATTAAATTATTCGGAAGTATATATTATGATATTATTGTAATCAACCTATATTGTATTGTACTTATTAGATACCTATAAGTACTTGTACTTATTAAAATAAAATATATATTATAAAAATAATAATGTATATAATATATTTTACTGCATATTTTTGCGTAGGCAGTGGCGTAAAAATGAGGGATGGGTTCGGTATAATTCTTCCCGCCCTTAGGACAAAAAAAAGATATTGTCCAGTTTTGAAATTATTAAAATAATAAAATGAAAAATATACACGTCACGAAAATAACACAACGTGTGTATAAAATCTAGTAGTCATCAGTTCATGGGCGTATTTTAGAGGGGGTGAAGGGGCGATCACACTCCTTGAATTCGTATTTAAGAAAATAATTATATGTGGAGATACACATTTCAATTTTTTTTAATGTAGATCATTTTATAACGAAATCAAATTATACGTGGCTATGAATACCGAATTGGACTTTTAGTCGGGTCCATATTTGGTGAAAAATCAAATAAAATACAAGCGTAACTTTCAAAACACAGGTGTTAAAAAAGAACTACACAAAAGTCGATTCTATGTAGATCCGACATTAGATTAAAAACAAAAAGCCACAACTATTAAGGATTCACCTGATTTAAATATTATCAAACACTTGTACATTTTGATCCTGAATTAAAGAAAAAATTTGATTCCCCCCCCTCCCTTAGAAGTAAGTCTATATACGCCTCTGCATCCAGGGTTTATTTTAGACCTATCTCGGGGGGTATCGTAAGTTTCCAAGGGAGTATGCCTTAGAAGTAAATAATTAAGAGAAGTGAAAGTATTGTTTTAAGTTCAATTTATAGGTATTAGATAGATACCTACGAATTCGTAGATTCTTAAAAATCTAACTTTGGTTGATTATATGTATACAATATTTGAATTAAAGTGTAGAGTAATAATTATTCAACCATAGTACCTTTGAACCATGTCTCACTCCTTGGACGGCTATACCCAATTACCGATTTTTGGGTTGTAACCAGTGGCGTAAACTGGGTGGTGCGAATGTGGCACTTGCAACACCACATCTAAAATTTGGTGGTGTAAAGATATGTTTTTGCACCACCAGAAAATTAATGAAATTTGTATACCTATAATATTATTTTCAAGAGCCAATGAAATCAGCATACTAAAAAAAAAAATTAATTGTTTTTTTTATTGATATTATATTAATAAAGGTTTTACTGCTAAAATAATTCAAAATTTATTTGTTATTTAAAGAAATATATGGGAAAATATTTAGTTTATTGGAAAGGATTTTACTTAGGAAATTGAAAAATTGGTGCGTTGGAAATTATAAGTTAAGAATATGTCCCTGCACCACCAGAAATTGGATCTAATTTCCGCCACTGGTTGTTACAGTACTTAAAAAAGGGGGCGGTAATCACTGACCCCTTCAGTATTAGCGATTCAACAGAAATTGTTCATGTATTGTATTTTATATTCGGACACACTCGCTAGCCGTAAGTATAATATACATGTCCGTATCTACAGTGACGGTGCTAGAGTTTGCAAGGCTCTGGGTAAAATAAACGTTGGGTCTTATAATTTATATTAATAAAATATTTTAAGTTCAGTTAAATCAGAACCGCGAGGCCTTAATTATAATTTAAGGTGCGGGGCCCTGCCCCTATTGTCAATTGTCCTTATTGCTCACCCTATCGCGCTGTCCTTGCGTATCTATATGTGTTTCAGTTGTTTTAGACGGCTGTTCTTTTAATAAACCGTAAAGCTTTCTATTTCTAAGTTTTCGGCTATGATTCCGTTCACAGTTCATACACACACATGCACATATATATCCTCATATAATTAGTGAATGAAACCCACGGTCTTGGTAATCAGTTTTTATGCGAGTATGAAGATAATTTAATGGCATCATTAGGTTGTTCGTGTCTAATAACATAATTGTGATTTCAAAAATACCAGCGCATATTATGTAGGAAGGTTCAAAGATATGTGAATTTTGAAATGTCTCGGGTACACCGAATCACACATCCCGGAGTAAATATCATTGTTACGTATATAGAGTCATCGTCCATTGGACTCAGCTGGTATATTATATTCGTCTACAGATAAATAATAAAAATTATAAATATATGTGTACATATTATATAATACCTAAAGGTATTATAGGCATACCGTGAAACGGTTCATGTATTATATTTTGTACTCGTTCGTTTTTATAATTGCAACTAGTATAATGACACCAGCACCAGCATTCAGTAAAATACATATATATATTTGAGTATAATAGCCATATACGTTTTATAATCTGTAATTCAACCAATCATATTTCGTAACTATGTACCCATATAATTATATTACAATCGGGTCTTCAAAGAGACAAATTCCATTTCGTTTTGAAACGTGATGGTTATAGAATAACATTGAAGATTACATAACCTTTTAACACGTTCGATTTTTTTTATCATCACGAATAAATTAATTAATGAAAATTAACATTCATTCATTAATTTTTCTCGAATTTCTAGTTTACTTTTGCATAAATACAGAGGTCAAATAATAATCAATAATATTTTAAACTAATTTAAAAATTGTTTTAGAAAGTATGTACAGCTATATATGTGTCATTCTTATTATTCTAAAATACCTTCAATTTTATAATAAAATTCTTGTACTATATTGTACCATAATTGTAACCTATTGTAAGATAATATAATTATTGAACAAAAATATTCAACAGTTAAAACTATAGATATTTTTTTCGTTACAAATGTAAATTCTTAAGTTGTTCTTTGTCTTAAATGTTTAAAAAAGCTCATTTTCCACAAAGAGGGTAACAGTAGTTTTACCATCCCCTTACTCTCTTCCCTGGATGATATCTGAAATACGTCACTGGGGGATTAAATTATATATATATATATATATATATATATATGTATATATATATAAAATGTATAGGTATTACATATGTTACTTTTTCAATTCTTATGACTGTACTATATTAATTATATAGTTGTATGTTTTGAACTAGTACTTTTATTATTGTACTTAGTTAAACGTATTTAAAACTCGAAAAGTAGAAATTTTTTTGATTCAACAAATAATTATAGCAGGATTATACGAGTATGTCTTATTTTTTAAACTAAGACTAATATTAAACACAATAAGATCTGATACTTAACTAATGAAAGTAAAAAAAGTAAAAAAATTATATACGTGAATATGTAACATCCGGCACGGCGGTTTTTTGTTAATACACTGATTTCAAGTATACCTACATGAAATTAGAAATTAAAAATCTTGACATTTTTTTGGTCACTATTACAGATATAATATATATATAAGTATCTATATGAATCAATAAAAAAAGGAAATTAAATATAAGACTAAAAAAACTGTTGATTATTTTCCGTAATATTGTATAAAATAGTATTATAGACAGACTGGGGTCGATTAGTCGATCCCTAGAGGAATATAGACCAATTATAATAGAAATTAATTTTATCATTATAAACCTATTTATCAATCTGATAATTTTTTTTTATTATCATATTTATATATTTATAGATGTATATTTTTTTTTTGGTATTCAACTCTTAAGGTTGATTTTGCAATTAGATATTCGCTCTCCAGTTTTCTTTGTTATCAGCTAGCCTTTTTATTTCGGCATAACTTGTTAGTCCAGCTTCATATATACATGTTACAGTCAATATGGATAATTCGGTAATTTGCAAAATGCCTAGGCATTATACAAAATGCCAAAAATCACTTGGCAATATACATAATACGAGCTTTGCCTAGGTATTATGTATAATGCCAATCGTGGAGTAGGCAATATGAAAAAATCTAACAAAATTGGATATCCCCTATTACCAACGACTTAACTTATCGTTTATCATAAATGTATTTTATAAAATACCTAGGTTATATGTAAAATAATATGTTTTATTTACTTTGTCTAAAATGGGTCGGCAATTTGCATAATGCCTAGGCATTTTGCAAAATACCTGAACTATCCATATTGCCGATAACATATATACGTATGTATATATATATATATATATATATATATATATATATATATATTAAATTAATAATATTTGCAGATTTTTTCTACATATACACTCTTATGTAATAATATAAACAAATAGGTGTCGATTGCCATAAACTTCAATCTTTGAATGTAACTCACTTGTTAGGAAATATTGGTGACCCTTGACTTAGAATATATATACAAATTTATCATTATAAATATTATAATACCTACCAGTACAAATTATATGCAAAATATTTGAAATTCAAATGATAAGGTTTAAGACAAAGAAAATAAATTAGTATACTTTTGGCCAGAAATTTGTATGACATACACAACATTGGATGAATAATGAATAAGTTGAATTAAACTACGTATTGTCGAGTTAGTGAACGAAGAAAAATTAAAATTTCACCAGTACAACGTTTAAGTACAAATAGTTGATGATTTTCATTTCCAAGTACAAAATAAAATATACATAATGTATCTATGAAATATTTCTGTAGTCTGCAGAATAATTTAAAAATTAAATTAAAAATATTTAAATAAATAAAAAATAAAAATTTAATATTTAAATATTTAAAGTTAAAATATTCTAAAATCAATGTTTACTGACTTGCTCATACAACAAAATAAAGATTATTAGAAAAGTATATAACATGTAAACACTACCTATAAAATTAGTTACTATAGGTACTAACTACCAATAGTACTACTAATATAATTAATAAACATTTGACATGATGCAGTATCAACTGATTTAATACACCTAAATAAATAAACATATAATGTATTCCTATAAACAACATTTTTTTTGCATGCGGGTTAAATAATACTACCAGTCTGATAGTGTACTTTTATAAATTATCCACTTTCTGTTTTCACTTTAGAATCACTTATATATAATTAATGAGTGTTTGTAGTAATTATGTCTTCCGAGTGTTTAATATAGATTATTAGTATTTACTACTACGTATATACCTAACTATATTCACTCTTAAAATTGCATATATTTTTTCATAATATGCATATATATATATATATATATTTGAATATTTTCTTAAAATAAGATAGTTGTAATATTGGGATTTATATAAAGTTAGATTTAGGTTATTTGTAGTTATGTAATTAATAATTTTAATAATTAATGTTTAAGATATACAAAAAGTATTGTATATGTACATTGTAAATACTAATATTATATATATATATATATATATATATATATATATATATATATATATAT